GGCGCCCCAGAATCCCCTTCTTTTAGGGCTGGATAATATTCTGCTGTGTGTATATACCCTACTGCGTTTACCTGTTTGTCCTTTGATGGACATTTGAGTTATTTCCACCTTTTTGCTATTGTGAATCACGCTTCTATGAATATCGCTGTACAAAAATGTGTCCAAAGCCCTTCTTTTGGTTCTTTTGGATATATCTCCAGGAGAGGAGTTGCTGGCCCACATGGTAATCGTATGTTTAATTTTTCTGGAACTGCTATCCCATTTTCCACAGCAGCTGCACCATGCTCCATGCCCACCAACAATGCACAAGGGTTCCACTTTCTCCGTACCTTTGCCGACACTTGTTTTCTATTTTTTCTAATTAAACAAGTTAAAAAAAATAGCTACCCTCATGAGTGTGAAGTGGTGTCTTATTGTGCTTGGTCCACTGTTGGATCTCTCAAGTCAGCCTTGCTTCTGAAGTCTTCGGTGTGTTCCCACGGTCCCAGTTGTCTTTATGGTGTTACTGGGAGATGAGCCTCAATCTCCCACAAGCAGGAGAGAGGAGACTCTGGATCCTGCCAAAGAAGTGGGGGTGGCCGTGCTCACCCTTTGTCCTGTGCACAGTGCAGGCCCTCTCAGTGTCTGCTGGACAGGCCCACGGGGCATCATCTCAGGCTAGAGTGTGGCGGGGGGAGGGAGCAGGTGACTCGGTGTGGGTCCTCACCTCCTCCGCCAGGGGGTCCGCTGGGCCACGCGGAGAGTCTGACCCTTGCTGGCTCAGGGCAAAAGATGCTTGTGGCCGCTCCTAATGTGGCTCCTCCTCTGAGTTTTGGTTATTTTCACTGGGTGAGAAGGAAGAAACCCCATGAGTTTTGGCTGAGGGTTTTCATGGCAGATTCACGGGATACAGTCTGAATCCATTCCTGATTCTGAGAAGGAACTAAAGCAACCTTTTTAAGATTTCAACTTGCAATTTAGGGTAAGCTGCTTGACCCAGAGCAGATTCCCTGTGATCGACCAGCAGGGGTGTCTCTTCCTGGACCGGCCATGAACTCTGGTTTGGACTTGGCAATACCAGGGCTAATGGAAAGGAAAATTTTAGGGGCACCTGGGTGGCTCAGATGGTTAAGTGTCTGCCTTCTTCTCAGGTTATGATCCCAGCATCCTGGGATCGAGCCCCACATCGGGCTCCTGGCTCAGTGGGGAGTCTGCTTCTCCCTCTGCCTCTGCCTCTCGCCCTGCTCATGCTCTCTCTCTCTGTAGCTCTCTCTCTCTCTCTCTCTGTATCTCTCTGTCTCAAATAAATAAATAAAATCCTAAAAAAAAATTGTTAAAAAAAAAGGAAAAATTTTTAACACTTAACCATGGTGCTTAATATGTCCCTGACATGGTTTTAAGTGGACATTATTAGCTCTCTCAAGCCTCATGACCGCTTTATGAGGTAGGGACTATGGTTGTGTCCATTTTACGTAGGAGGAAACGCAGGCCCAGCGTAATGAAGCAGCTTGTCCAGTGTCACACAACTGGAACATGGAGCTGGGATCTGAATCTAGGCAGCCTGGCTCCAGACCCAGGCTATGGGGCATTTGAAGAAAGGATCAACGTCAGGGGCCTGATCGAATAAGACACTGCCTTTCCAGAATACTTCATATGTTTTTATGTTCCATTTACCCTCCATGCTCACTCTGTGAGGCAGACATTTGTGTCATTCTCATTTTGCCAGAGGGGGAAACTGAGGCCTAGAGGCTGAACGTTCAAGGACTTTCCTAGGGAAGCCGGATGGCGTGTGGCAGGCACGTGCAGGGCACGTGCAGGAAAGGGACCCGGTGTGCGCTGTTGGTGGGAATGTAAGTTGGTGCAGCCACTGTGGAAAACAGTATGAAGCTTCCTCAAAAAATTAAAAAGAGAACTACCCTATGATCCAGCAGCCCCACTTCTGAGTATCTAGCGAAGGAAATGAAAGCAGGCTCCTGGGGAGATAACCTGCAACCCCACGGGCATTACGGCATCATTCACAGCGGCAGAGATATGGAAACCACCTCAGGGTCTGCATGGGATAAGTGGATAAGGAGCATGCGTGTGTGTGGCTGGGCAGCAGGTAGGCTTGGCCAAGGCCACGGCAGAGCCCCGGCTTGCTTCCCGCTCTCAGCCTCGGCCGCTCGCTCACCCCCGGGAGCCGTCGGCGCTTGGCCCTTCTGGCTGCCCTGGCTGCCCGCTCGTCACAGTGGGTCTGGGTGGCTGAGCACAGCCACACAGGGGAGAGTCCGCCGAGCGTGGGGAGCACGGCGGAGCCAGACCGCAGAGTGGGGAGGAGCTCAGAAGGCATTGGACTGGGGGAAAAAGTGGGGCAGGCAGGACGCTTCTTAAGGGCTGGGAGAGAGGGGGGCTGTCCTTTATCCTGTGTGCATTGGGAACCCCTGAAGGCGTTTGAGGAAGAGAATGGCCGGGTTAGAGCTGGCCTTTAGGAGGCTGGGTTTGGTCTCTGTGTGTCCGATGGCTCAGGGCCTCACCTGGCTGAGTTCCAACAGCCTGTCTTCCTAGTTTGCCTATGACTTCCTTCTGCTACCTGTCATTGAGCGTCACTGTCTCTCAGGGGCTGTAAGCTCTCAAAGGTCGCTGGCTTTTGTAGGTCACCAGCTTGCATGTTTAATTTGCTGGTAGTGGCTCACGCCCGGGCATCCTGGCCTTATCTTTGACCCTCCCATGGCAATGCGGGGCAGGCATTATGGTCTTCTTAGTGTCTGGAATGTACAGATGAACCAGCTGGGCACCAAACCTAGATTTCTCCCTGGGATGGCTTCTTCTCTCTGGAAAACTCCTACTGACCTTTCCAGATGCTTCCTCTCCTGGGATCGCTGTTGGCTCCCTCACAGAATATGAGAGCTGCTGCCCTTAAACCCTGACAGTACTTTATCTGTCCCAGATTTCATTGTTTTTTGTTAGAGATATTTGCCTTATTTTCCCAGGTAGGCTCTGAGTGCCTCGAGGGAAGGGTCTGGTCTTTGTTATGTCTGCACCCAGCTCGGAGTTAAATACTTGATTGGGCACAGTCGTCCAAGAATAGGCATTTTCTGTTCACTGACACCTGTGTATGTAGGCACTGGGATATGGCCGTGAACAAAGCAGAGCAAGTCCCCCACCTGCCCTTGGGGGGCTCAGCCTACCGGATCCTCTGCATGTGACCTCCACTTCCATAAATCTTTCTGAGGGACAGACTTTATGTTGCCTTCCTCAGATCTGGGGAAATGTTCTATTATAAGAAAAGGTCTTTGATAACTTGAGAGGTAGAAGTGCTCTCTTTCAGGACAAGGGCTATTTACCTTGTATCCTCCTAAACACTGACAGAACACAGTTCTCTGATGTTGGTCGGTTGTAGGTGTTTGCGACACACGTGTGGAATGGAGCTGGAGCAGGAACAGACTCTGGATAAGAGTTGACTCCGGGGGGCGCCTGGGTGGCTCAGTTGGTTAAGCGACTGCCTTCGGCTCAGGTCATGATCCTGGAGTCCCGGGATCGAGTCCCGCATCGGGCTCCCTGCTCGGCGGGGAGTCTGCTTCTCCCTCTGACCCTCCTCCCTGTCATGCTCTCTCTCTCTCATTCTCTCTCTCAAATAAATAAATAAAATCTTTAAAAAAAAAAAAAAAAGAGTTGACTCCGGGGGGGGAGGGAGCGCAGGGGACCTGCCCGGGCCCACGCAGTCACCAGTCACGCACAGTTAGAACATGTCCAGCTCCAAGAGTTCTCTACAAAAAGAATTAGATTTTAGAGGCAGATAGGAGCCTGACGAGATGCAATCAGACTGCAAAAGAATTGGTTTTAATTCGAGACCTTGCCTCCAACAGGTTGTGTTCCCTCTCTTGGCATTTCCCCAGTTCCAGGACTCCGTTTTGAGTTTTAGAAGCAGCAACACACAGATGTCTTTCCGAGGCCACTTGGCCGAGACCAGGCCCTGCCTTGGGAAACACAGAAAGCTGGAAGGCTGGAGAGAGGGGCATCTGGAGTTTGTGGTCTGTGAGTGACAGAGCTCCCAGAGGATCCTCTCTCTCCAACACACTCACCCAGGGTCAAGGCCACCGCAAACCAGAGAAAGGGCACCAGAACCAGGACACCAGGGTTTCCAACAACTCAGCCTGTGGTAGCTGGAAGGATGGCTCCAGGCTTGGCTTGGCCATTGCTCTAGCTGGTCAAGTTACTGTCCTTCCTCGGGCCTCAGATTCCACATGAGCAGCATGAGGAGGTTGGATGGGGGGGGTCTTAAATGCTCTTTTGGCTTTTTGTAGGAAGGAGCAGGGGCTCCGGTGTTAGGCACACCTGGTTTTCAAAGGAAGGGAGCTTGAGAGGTAGGGTGCAGGTGGTAGGAATGGCTGCATGGGTTTTAGAGCCAGCCACACTCGGGTTCCCACGCTGGCTCTGCCCCTTGTTAGCTCTTTATTTGGGGACAAGTTATGTAACCTTCTGGAGGCTGAGTTTCTGATGTAGAAAGAGTGATGGGCCCTCCACCCTGGGTGGTTGGGGGAATCATCTGTAACGAGATATTGTAGGGAAAGCATGGAACAAGGGCGTGGCACAGAGAAAGCCTACAGTCACTGTTGGGGATGGCAGTGGTATTTGGAGATGCCGACCACCTGGACAGGTGCCCTTGAGGCTGGCCGGTGGGCACATGGTTTGAGAAGCTGCTCTAAGCAGGGTACTCCCAGAAAGAAATACATATAGAGATGTATGTTTCCATCCAAAGGTTGCTTGCGCGTTCTGGAGCAAGGCTGCAGGAACAGGCAGATGACCCTCAGCTGTCATGAGTGTCTCTACCTCCACGGTGACAGGCAAGCCCAGAGCTGCTGGCGGGAGCTGGGCTGGCCCTGCCATTCCTGGGCTCCGAACCTCCATGTAGCCCATGTAGGTGAATCCAGGTGAATCATGAGACTCTGGGTGAGTCCCGGGTCTCCGGGCCCAGTCCTGGCTTGCTGGGTGTATGGCCTGGGCTGTGGGTCTGGGTGAACACGCTCTCCACCCCTTTCCAGTGCGCAGGTCCAAGGCCGCGGACGAGGAGAGGAGCTGCCGAGCTCAGCGCGCCAGGGACGAGTACCGGCGCCACTCCCTCCGCGCCATCCAGAAGGGCACGGTCGCCGGCCTCAGCTCCATGTTCCGAGAGCTTGGCCAGAGCCACGAGCAGGAGGCCAGACTCTACCACCACCTCCCAGGCCCCGGGCCTCCGCCACGCCTTGCCATACCTGTCAGGTGGGTCTGGGGGACTCTGCAAATGCAGCGTGGCTGGGGGATCCAGTCCCTGCTCTGCTCCAACAGCTATGAAATTTGGAGCTAGTCATTTCCCCGCTGTGGGCCTCAGTGTTCAAGTCTGTGTAATGGGGCCAGAGCAGGGCAGTGAGGAGTCTGGTTGGAGATTTCTAATAGCCCCAGAGTTCTGGGAGTCTTAACATTTTGGGGTCTAGGATTCTTTTGAGAATCTAAAGAAAGCTGTGTACCCTCTTCCCTCCCAGATGTGCATATGAAAATACCCAAAAATGTTTGCATATAATTTCAAGCTCTTAAACGTCCACAGACCCCAAGAACTTGTAATATAAGACCTCAGATGGGTTAAATATGGCCCAGCTGCTTGGAAACCAGGGCTGGCTGCTTTTTCTAACCATAGGTAGTGCTGGTGCATCCCTGGTTCTGCTAACAGGTTTGCAGATGAGCGTGGTTGAGTCCTGAGGGTCCTCACACAAAATGGTGTCTCTGGAGTGGCTTGGCAAGGGCACTTAGGTGACTGCCCATCATTGCCAGAACCCAAGGTCAAGAGGCTGCCTGGAGCCTCTCCGCTTTCTGCCTGTGCCCACCTTAGGCCAGCCCCGAGGGTGGTGCCCCACACCTCCATCTCTGCTGAGCAACTACTGCCCCATGAGGGTGCATGGTGAGTGCCTGCTGGGTCCCCGAACCCTGGTTAATCTGCAGAAGAGTCCATTCTGAGTTTTACTTTAATTGGGGTTTAGGATTATTCATAACTCCCTTCTCCCTCTCCCTGTGGGCTAGAGAGGGCTGACCATACCTGCATTTCTTCCTTCCTTTCTTCTCCCCCTCCCTCCCTCCTTCCCTTCCTTGTCATTTATATGATTCACAAACCACGAAGTTTAAAAAAAAATATGGAAAATGGTTGCCTTCCATTCTTACCTCCACCTACTTGGTTCTCCCTGACCCTGCAGGGGAGCACTGTCCTCAGTGTTTTTATGCACCACCCCCCTAGTCCCTTTGTGTAGTTGATGACATGAAAAGTCGTAGCCCTGTCTTGTGTTTTGTTTTTGTTTTTTTTTTTTCAGAAAAGGTTGCATATTACACACATGGCTCTGCATCTCGACTTTTATTTCCATTTACCTGTATTTTGGAGGTCTTTTCATGTCAATTCTTAGCTAGTCATTTATTTTTATTTAGTTGTGGTTTGTTTTTTTTGACAGAGAGAGACACAGTGAGAGAGGGAACACAAGCAGGGGGAGTGGGAGAGGGAGAAGCAGGCTTCCCACAGAGCAGGGAGCCCGATGTGGGGCTTGATCCCAGGACCCTGAGATCATGACCTGAGCCGAAGGCAGACACTTAACGACTGACTCACCCAGGCACCCTATTTAGGTTTTTTTTTTTTTTTAAGATTTTCTTTTTAAGTAATCTCTACACCCAATGTGGGACTCGAACTCACTACCCCGAGATCAAGCATCCCATGCTCCACTGACTGAGCCAGCCAGGCACCCCGGTTTAGTTTCCTTTTTTTATAACTGCATCGTGTTCATTCCGCAGATGTGCTAGAAATTATTTATCAAAAACTCTGTTAATGGACACTGGAGTTGTTTGAAATCCTTGGTTATGACCAACAGTGCCCTTAATGAATAACGCTGTAGACGTTCATTTTATACACGGTCCGCCCCGGGAGGGAGGCTGATGGCTGGCCTCTCCGGGTGCGTGGGTCTGCCGCTCCTGGTACATGAGGGTCTTCCTTCATGGATGCTGTTGTTTGTGCTCTGCAATTCTAGAGGGGAAAAAAATGCCTTTTCTCTCCCTCAAACATCCCCTCTTGTCCTCTTTTCCATTCCCACCTGTGTGGCTTTTTTGGAAGCAGGGGATAACAGTGCTCTTTTGGGAAAAATAATACTAGTTGGTGCATTATTATCTGCAAAGTGCCTTCATGCACCTGGACTCATTTAATTCTCTCCACAGGCATGAGCGTGGGCACCGTGCTGATTCATTCTCACAGAGGCCTTCCCTCCCCTCCCCTCCCCTC